CGCCTACGTACAGGCTCACCCATTCGAAGTAGAAGGAGGTGTAGAAGAGTCTATCTTGGAAGCATGGGTACGTTACTCCAAGAATCTTGTGAAGCTTGATGGCCATGTACTGATTTATGTAGGTTCAAATATACCCTCGCATCTCGATAGACAACTCCCGCCGCGTCCGCGAACTCTCCCACACCCTACAGTTCGAGTTGATGAAGTCGGCACGGAAGCGCATGGAAAAGCGCGTCCCCAAGATTGTCGGCACCTGGCTCGCTGGCTTATACGACAAGGATAGAGTTGTGTCGAGGGCAGCAAACGATGGTCTCTCCTCGTTCCTCAGCAGCCCAGAAAAGGTCGCGCTGTTCTGGAACAAGTGCCAGTCACAGATCTTGACATATGCGACCGACGCTATCCAAGAGACCAAGGACACCCTGAGCGACGAACGATCCACGACGGCCGACGATGCCGAGGCCAAATACCTCCGGGTCATAGGGGCAAGTCTCTCTCTTGTACTTGGTCTCTTGCAAAAGCTCGAGTCGACCGACATTCAAAAGGAAGAGGAGGCATACGACACCTTCTTCGCCGAAGAGAAGGTCTGGAAAAGTGTGGTCACGGGAGATAGCTCGGTTAAGAAGACGGCGTGCCAGCTCTTGTGGGCCTGCCTCGACAAGAGATTCGACCCCGTATCCTCACAAATTTCTCGCCTGAAGAAGACTTTCGTCGCCGAGGGGCTCAAGAGCAGTCAAGTGGGATCGGCTGTCGAGTATGTCAGAGTTCTCACAAAGTTGACGACCAAGTTCCCCGAGATCTGGACGAGCTCAAGCGAGAAGAAGACCCCGATCACCAGACTGAATGGATTCTTGGAGAAGGGTTCCCAGAGCAGCTCCGCCAAGTACTGGGAGCACCTCGAGCACCTGATCAAGGCCATCCCAACTGAACTCCTCACGGTCGAAGCCTCAGCTGACGCGCTCAAGTCAATGAGGACGGGAATTACAAGCAGAGAGGAACCGCGGATGAACGCTACCGCGGCGTGGACCTGCTATGCCAGAACTACCAAGCATCTATTGAAAAACTTTCCTTCCGACAGTGAGAGGGCAACACTTGTTCAAGAACATCTGTTCCCTCTAATTGAGCACTTCCTCTTGCCCACACCCGAAAACTCGTCATGGGAGATTGCTGGAAACGGACGACTTCCTGTGCTAGCCGAAGTGTACGAGGTCTCTGTCGGCTCATCATCCGAGGAACTTAAGGCGGCAACAACCGACAAGCTGGGACTGCTCTCGTCGGCTTTCTGTGGTAGAATATCCAACTCACTCCCAGAGGTCTCAAAGGACTATGAAAAGTCTCAAGAGGCTGTTGCTTCCGAGGGAACCCGCTGGTTCACCCTCGTTGGCCAAGTTCAAAAGGCAAAACCAACAGACACTCTCTTCATCGAGCCTTCAAGGGCCATCATTAAATGCAGCGTGGACCTCCTGGCGACAAGAAATCTCAAGCCTTATGGAGCAGCTGCAGTGCTCTACAGCGTGAGCAAGAACGCCCCGCGCGTGTGGAGAGATGCGGAAGCTGCTCAAGCTCTGGAGCAATTCCTGTCAACACAAGGCCGAGATCGCATGGACGTCTTGATTCTGTCACGGTCTGGTCCCGATCTGCTGAACTGCGTCAATGCCCTGGGCACTCTCGAGGGACAAAATGCAACTTACGCCGGTATCTGGAAGACCTGGATCGAGGCTTTGTTGAGCTTGTCTGGTGACTCGCAGGCCATTAGGGGCATCGAGCGTCTCATTGCAAACCAAAAGGCGTCAGAGCTCTCTAAATCACACGAGCAGCTCCAGAAATTCATCGAGTTCAAGTGCTCTGGCACAGCCCGCGGAGAATTGGATGCCTGGAGTCTGTTCGAGACCGCCTTTGCCAACAATGCCATCGCCGACTCAACCGCCAAGCAATTGCTAGACAACAGCGTGTCGGCCTTGTCGCAAGACAAGCAGCACTCTGGCCAGACCCTTCGCTCCTTGGAAATCATTGCGAATAACAGGCCTGGACTCTTGTCGCAAGACGAGTCAACGCACATGGCGGTCGTGACTGAGCTGCTGGGACTTGCCGAACTAAACGACAGGGCAATATCTTCCCGTGCGGCCTCGCTGAGAGCGCTACTGGAACAGCCCGCGGATGGGGTATCGCCAGTCGTCACCATTATCCAGAGAAACCTCGAAGACGCTGGACCACAGTCACTTGGTGTCGAAACACTGGTACAACAAGCCCTCCAGGCGTCGCAAGCTGGGTCTATCGCCATCGAGGATTTGTTCCCGAGCACGAACATCTGGATGCAGCAGCTCTCAAAGTTCTTCCAGGTCAAGCTCAACCCGTCTTTGTCAATCACCAGCGGTCTGGCCGGCGCTCATTTCCTCGTTCAACCTGCCGAGTCTGACCAGCGACTTCGTGTGCGCAGAGACCGAGACGGCCTCTCTATCCCGGCTAGAATGGCATCCTACACCTCTAAGCTCTTGTCATCGGATATTTCGGTCTCCAGTCTGCCTGACAGCTTCCAGGTTGAGCTGCTCTACCTCCTTTGTGTCGCGGTTCAGATGGTATCGGACCAGATTACACTCATGGACGAGAACAAGCTCTTCTTGAACCTTGAGATGGGAGACGCGCTTGCTTCTGCCGAGTCATTCGTCTCTTCCACCCGTGTGACCATCAATGCCATTGTCGACGAAGCCAAGGGATGGAGGGACGGCTCGGAGACTGGCTCCACAAAGCTGGTCAACGGTCTCATCGCCATCATGACGCAGGAGACCAAGGAACTCACCCCGTTGGGCGTCTACAGCTCTAGAGCACTGAGCGACCTCTTCCAGAACCTTGCCGAGAAGCACGGTTTCCCTGCTGCCGGAGACGAGAAGATCAACCAGCTGGCCACACTCAAGGCCACACCACCAACGATCCTGGCGGCGACGGCTGTGCTCGCCGGCTTCGGTGAGAGTCTGGAGTCGTCAAAAGCCATCAACAATCTGTGCAACCGTCTTGTAAGCGACATTGCGGGCGCTAGTGTTGAGCCTGAAAAGGCCGAAAAGACGCTGCTTATCCTGGTTCTCCTCAACGCATGCTTGCGAGTGTACGAGATTGGCGGGGTCCCCGTTGCTAACAACCGCATCGTCTTTGCCGTTCGCCAGATCACGTCTTGGATGGACGACATCCCCAGCCTTACACCCGCGCTGTCAGCCGAGATCTGCAGATCCCTACAGAGTCTACTTCCATGCATGAAGGACGTATACGGCTCGTACTGGGACAAGACGATTGAGTTCTCCACTGCGCTGTGGGCAAGGGCCTCGGATGACCGTCTCGACGACTCGCTGCCGTATATCCATGCATCACTGAAGCTCATGACCACCCTGGAGACGCTGTCGGAGCCAAACGACGACCTCGTGGACGCCATCAAGGAGTTCGCCGAAACGAAGTCCCTCTCCCTCATCGAGCTCCTCAAGCTCGACCGCGAAAAGACCACACAGCCCCTCGAGATCGTCGACGCCATCATCTGCAGACAAGTCAACAAGATCCCGCTGAAGCACATCAACGACCTCTCGGACCTCTACGGCCTCATCGCTGCGGACTCTCGCTCGATCCAGACGGCGGCATTCAACCTCCTCCACTACGCCCTTCCCGCGCGCCAGGAAGAACTCTCCGTCAACGTCCTCCTCGACAAGACCGACGCCCGCCTCCCCGACGAGCTCCTCTCCCTCCTCCTCGACGCGCCCACGCTGGAGCGCTACCCAGACGAGATCCTCGCGCAGTTCCCTCTCGCCATCCGCTCCTACCTGCTCTCGTGGCACCTCATCTTCGACGCCTTCAGCACCGCCTCCCTCAAGGTCCGCCAGGACTACACGGAGCACCTCAAGACGGAGAACTACATCGCCCCGCTCATGGACTTCATGTTCGACGTGCTGGGCCACTCGGCCGCGCACCCGCTGAACCTCGAGCGCGAGGGCCTGACGACGCAGCACCTCACCTCGTACAGCGTCTCCCTCGCCGACGCCGAGCCCGACGAGCGCAACCTCCACTGGCTGCTCGTACACCTCTACTACCTCACCCTCAAATACACTCCCGGCCTCTTCAAGACGTGGTACCTCGACTGCCGCTCCAAGCAGACGCGCATCGCCGTCGAGGGCTGGATGACGCGCTACTTCTCCCCCATCATCGTCTCGGACGCGCTCGACGAGGTAGCCGCCTGGGCCGCCGCCCAAGACCCGCCCGCTGACGACGACGAAAAAGAGCTCGTCGTCAAGGTCAGCAAGGCGTCGAGAGAAATCACGGCTGGCGTCGAAATCGACGAGAGCATGGCCTCCATCGCCGTCAAGGTGCCCGCGAGCTACCCCATCGAAGGCGTCTCCGTCGTCGGCATCAACCGCGTCGCGGTCAACGAGCGCAAGTGGCAGAGCTGGCTTCTCACGACGCAAGGGGTGATTACCTTCTCCAACGGAAGCATCATCGACGGCCTCTCCGCTTTCCGAAGAAACATTGTCGGCGCGCTGAAGGGCCAGTCCGAGTGCGCCATCTGCTACTCTATCATCTCCTCCGACAAGCGCATGCCCGACAAGCGGTGCTCGACGTGCAAGAACCTCTTCCACCGCACCTGTCTGTACAAGTGGTTCCAGAGCAGTAATCAGAATACGTGCCCTCTGTGTCGTAACCCCATTGATTACCTGGGCCATGATTCCAGGGCGAAGAGGGGGCAGTCGGATTATGTGGTGTAAGGTAGCTAGGTCTCTTATGGGGTAACGCGGTTGAGAGAACCATGTTGAATTCCAAGGGGAAAGGGGAAAAGAAGAAATGTGAGATGAGAAAGATGAAAGTATGGTTTCTTGTAAAAAGTCACATTCGTGTGGAATAGAGCATGCAAAAATGCCAGATGGGTGGCAGTAAACAGATGATAAAAAGCAGAAACGTTCAAATTGCAACACTTCTATCAAGTCGTGAACTCGCGTAACACCATGAGACCAACCAGAGAACCCTCCACGCATTCAAATCAGCCTATGGAGACCTTCACAAACAAGCTTAAGAATCTCCACGGCATCCCGCACACGTTTATTGCGTTGCTCCTCGTTACACACAGGGCCCACGTTTTCTGGGTTGAACCTCAATTGCTCATTGCTATCTAAGCTGGTGTCGACAGGGGAAAGGCTGGGCTCGTCATCGGACTCGTCATCGACATCGCCCATATAAATGTCGAATTCAGCAACGCTGGGGGTAGAGCAGACGTCCATAGCCGTGTCGACGTATGTGGTTTCGGGAACATCCTCGAGAATCTTCGCCGAGATGACCTTCCGGAGCCGATTGGCCCACGCGACCTGGTAGTGACGCCTGAGGGATCCCATACGGAGCCACGTTCCCCTTTTGGTGACGCGCGTAGGCCGTTGCCGAGGAAGCAACGCCTTGTTGGCGACGCCACCCGCCTGCCTCGCTGCTATCTGTGCCAGACGGATCCCGGTTTTCTTACAAACCCAACATTTCGACCCTCCGAACGTAGAGCGATTGGAGGCGCATTCAGAACACTTTATAAGACAACGGCCTTTTCTACAAGCCTTGTCGCTCTTGTGCTCTCCTGATGGACAATGGTGGGGTTTTTTGCCTCCTGCTAACCTTCTTGGCATATCTGCGATGGCGTTGGTATTCTTCTTTTTTGAGCCCTCTTGTCGTCGTGATCCTTCGGGTTGGTCCCCGAGGACCGACGTGTCCGGTGCGTTCTGAGTGCCAATGTTCGGGCCGTTACGGTTTCTCACTTTCTTCGGGCCAGAGGGCGCGCGATCTTTTGATCTTTTTTCGCCAGGAGGGGCCATGGTTTGACAGCTTTCTTCGACTTCTAAAGCGCGGATGAGGCTAGTAGTGTCTGAACTGACTTGATCTTGCGAGATGGGAAAAGTTGAGTTTGACGTGGTTGGGTGACGATGACGCGCAGGACCGCGGACATTAATACCTGGTGCGAGATCCCGGGGCCTTTGTTCTTCGATACCGAGATCTCTTCGCAGCGTTCTGAAGGGTTTCCAAGGCTCATGGGACTCAATGGAGACCGTGAACACAAAGAAACTACTTTGAAAATCTGCAGCACAATGTTGACCCCTTTCCTTCGACCTTCCAAGGACTAAGGATGGCCCAGCTTCAAATACACCTGCTCTTTGTCACGTTGTCCTCGAAGACCGGGTGGCCTCCTATGCTTGACTTTCCTCGGTGCCTATCATGAACTTGTGCTGTAGAGCCTATTGTATAGTCAGTAAAGATAATTGCTTGTGGTGAAAAAGATCACCGCAACTCACTTGCTCCGCTGTAGCCCTCTTAGAGTCAAAGCGCACCAAGCTCGAGATCAGCTCTCGAGCATGGGGATTAACCTCTGGAAGAATCTCTGTCCACGGTTGGCCATCAAACATGCGGTACATCTCAAAGGGTGGCGTTTTGAAGCTCGCAGCCTCGGGCCAAGTCTCGCGTGTCGGCGTGCCCAAAGTTTTGAAGATGCTCAGAATCAAGCCCAGCTGGTTGCCGTCCTCATGGGCGGGTCTTGATTCGAACAGGGACTTTGGGGGACTGCGACAGCACTCGGCCAGCATAGCCCCAGCCGCCCACACGTCGACAGAAGGACCGTAGGCTTTATCACCAAAGAGGGCTTCAGGCGCTCGGTAGGGGCCGGTCCCGATATCCAGAATCTTGGATTTGGCCGGCTCTGAGACAATCGACATGGTCGGGTGCCAGGCTGTTCCAAAATCAGAAAGATATGCTGGCCCTTCCGGACCGTCGAGCAGGATGGCCTCGGGCTTGACGTCTCGGTGTATGATGCCTTGGCCATGGATATTCGCGAGTGCAGTGAAGATGTCTTTGAAGAGACGTCTAATCTGGGGCAGGGGAATGGTTCCTTTGTCAATAACATCGGCAAGTGTCATGGGCTTGTAAGGAAACACTAGAACAAATCTTTGTTCTTGGTCCCTGAATGTTTCTAAAAGTGGAATGCATGGTCGTTTCAAGGTCGCTAGAATCCTAGCCTCGCGTTGCGGATTGTGAGGCTCAATGTTGTGTGTTTCCACAATGACCTTGAGCGCTCGATCTTTGCATTGGTAGACTTCTGACGTTAAGCCACTTGCAAAAGAAACACAATTTTTGTAAGAACCAATGTTGACGCCAGCATCTTCAGGTTGGTCATTAGCAGGTGCTGGGGCTTCCGGGCGAGACAAATTGGCTGAGCCGACTAGCTGGCAGATTTCGTCATATTGAGCCTGACCTTGACATGTGAGCATTGAACTTGGGCAAAAGGTGAGAAATAGGGTGGAAAACTCACCCTGGACGACGAGTCTTTATAAGCCTGGTTTTCTACAGAAAATGCGTCCGACTGTGACGTGTCTTTGGCATCCGGACTAGCTGTCTCCAAGACGGACTTTCTACGTAGAGATTGGTGTAAGTATGGCTTGAATGCACATCGAAGATTTATGACTTACATTCTTTGAATGTTTTCATATCGATCTGACGCCAATAATTGCGTCCTCCAGTCGCTGTCTGCCATGAGAACCGGGCGGCTGTCGAGGACGGAAGTTGGCGTGAGGTGGGCGAGCAAGGATGACGAGACTTTGACGGTGGTGCACTGGCGTTGCTTTCAACTGGCCGTTCTTAGTGAGCACCAGACAGGAAGGGTTGAGGCGTCGTTGCAACTTCCGTTGATGATCCCTGTGATGCAGCTAGGAAAGCAGGAGCGCAGTAGAACTGGGTACGTACCGTGTGAGAAACGTCGGAGGCGGTGAAAGGACTGTCCGGGCCGGACCCTCCGGTGTGGATCTCGGTGGAAAACAGCGTTCGCACAGTGCGGACTTGCTGTCTCCTTTTCGAGTGGAAAGAATGAACAGGAAGAGAAATAAGCTTACATAATGCGTGGTTGGGCATTGCAATTCCGGGTACCTGACGAGGGGCGTCCCATGGCGTCAAAATATGTCTTTAATTACTTCTTCGACTCAATCTTAGCTTTCCTCTTAGCCTCACGAGGCGTAAGGATTATCACGGTCTTTTACTGCGCTAATGCGCACCACTCTTGGGTCTCACTCCGTGCAGTCCATGGAGGGCTGCCGGCAAGTCGTGCCGGAAGGGCCTTCTTTTTTCTTCAATACTTATACATTGTGGGTGGTGTTCTGGCTTGAAGATCAAGATCCTTGCGATTGAATCAAGGGCAAAAATAAAACTTCATGCGCAGCTGACAACCTGCAAGGATGGGGCGGCTCAGTCATGGTTTTTTTCTTTTTCCCCTTTACCTTCTTGCGCCGGCTTGGTCTCCGTGAGGTGGGTTGAGATTGAATTTCGATCAGAGACTTTACGCGGGCGCGACACGTCAGGGCACTTCCCGTCATCTCATACAGGCACCGTTCCTCTGAACCTTGCCTGGCGGATGCGGGATGCTTAAAACAGGATCAACGTGACTAAGGCAGAACGAAGGCAGGGAAGCTGCTTAAGGTTGACGGAATGTGGTCTGGGTTATGCAGCCCGCCGCCGCCGTTGTTTCCAGCATCGGGGGGACGAGCGGTGCCTCTGTACCTTTTCGTGATCATGTATGTCTTGCCTGCTGTGCTCCTTGTCAGCTTCAGAAGAGGACATCTCGAAGCTAGCTTTTGCTGGAAGGCTCAGTTGAGTTCTTCCTCGGTTGCCAACTCGAGCTGAGGATTGTGCTAACTTGGTCTGTAAGGTGCGTGACGTATTTGCAGGAGTCCCCTCCGAGCTAGCCTGTTTCGATTACAGGAGCCCTGTCCGACCCAAAGCACAGAGAGATGAGGGTGGTTGGTCAGTGTGGAACTGGGGTTGAGATGTATGTTGTCTCTTTATGATTGAGCTGTGCAAAGGAGACAGATTCGTTCTAACCGTCTCATTGCCACTGAGAACTCATATCGGAATGACCAGAATGAGGAAGAGGAAGAGGAGAAGGAGAAGCGGATAGCTATTACCTAGTGATGAATAGTATAGGCACCTCATGATCTTGTGGATGACTGTGAATTTTAATGGATGGTGCGTCCTTGTCCGCAGCTCCCGGGCCAATTGTCCCATCCGAATCCAATAAATTCAAATCTGGCGCCAGTGGAACATGCGCTGAACCTTTGGTCAGGACGAGGCAGCACTCGGGCCAATTGACGACGCATTCGAGAAGAAAAAAAGGTACGTGAGACATCTCAAGGATGAGGTTGGATGACATTGACACCCAGGTGCCAGTGGGAGACCAAGGAGGCGTCGAGGCCACGCAGCAGCATTGATCAAGCTAAAGCAAGAAGGCAGCATTAGATGATTAGACGGGACTTACCACGTTGCGTTTGTATGCAGTTGACGCGTCTCGATGTTGATCGAGGCGAGCCGTAAACCTCGACCTCAAATGCTCATGTTGCTGTACATGCAAGTATTCCAGGTTCATACCAAGGTACATGGTATGAATCGGGCTGTCCAAGTCCGACCTGTGAAAGTACCAAGAAAATCCCAAGTCCAGCCCAGCCCATGCCCCCCGGTCCGGTTCTCTCCACACTTCATCATCAGCCCAAGACTAAATAAAAAAAGAGGGAAGCAAGTCACTCTTAGCTGCGATGAGTGTGTAAAGTGACTTCTATTATGGATAGGTACCAGGAGTTCTTCCCGGCTTTCCAGTCCCAAGGGCCCACTCTCCCACACATCACTGGCGACCACAGTCTGCACCTGCTGCACCTGGTGACTGCCTGACCGGGCTTCGTCTTGTTCGGCAGCAGCAGTAGCAGCGGCGGCGCCTTCCATTCCTTCCTGGCCTGCCTTATTGTTCCATCCATCCACCATCCAACTGGACCATTCCAACCATCCACCCAATTCCCGCCGCCGCCGTCTCGCAGGACAACCCACCTTCCTCACACCTCACGACTTTCCCACGATGCGAATGTTCCTCACTTCGCCCACACCTTTTCCCGCATCATAGACAGCATCGCTATGCGCGCCTTTTCTCTCGTTGCTTGCATTCATCGTACATGACTTTGCGCGCGCCGCACTAATTAGACACAATGGATGACCTCGCGAGGGCCGAGTACCCGGCCATGCTGGTAATGTTTCCCCCCCCCCCCCTTCCCCCATTCATTCCCGTCAATCCGTCACTGTTTCCCCCAGTGGTTGGAAAGGCCCTCCTACCGGGCAGAAGCCGAGGTCGGGCTGGCTTTCCACAATCCACCTCACTGCGACTGGTGTACTTCCTTTGCAATGGCAGGAGCGCATTGTTTGCGACTTGTTTTGCTGACTGTCATTCCCCTTTGTTTAGGAGCACCTCCAGCCCATGCAGGCCGTGAACGTCCTTACCGATCGTGTGAAGAGAATAAACAAGATCAACACCGAGATCGCAGACTGGTTGCAGGTAAGGCACCACCCACGATGAACAGAATGCGACAGCACAGGACAATCCCATGCTGACCTATAACCCTGCTCAGGAACGCCGCCGAGTCGAAGATCAATACGTCCAAAGCCTCAAAAAATTGCTCGCCTTCAAGGTCCCCAACAGCTCGTCTGAGCTTGGGTAGGTTGCCCGACCATTGCATTCGGCTCTCAGCAGTAGGACCGTATACTGATTAGCTGAGTAGCGTCTTTTCCGGTCCTTGGGACAAAATCCTCCAATCCGTCGACTCAACTGCCCACTCCCACCACGTTTTCGCGAGCCAGCTCGAAAAAGATGTCGAGGGTCCCCTGCGTAACTTCTCGTCCCGCAAGGAGATGCAGAACATGCAGACTATCACCGCCAACTTGACCTCCATGGCCCGAGACCTAGAAGATGCCCAGAAGAAGACTGAAGCCTTGGCTCGAAAGGGCCCCAAGACGAACGCCCAGAAGATGGCGGATGCCACGGCGAGACTGGAGTCTACCACCCAGCAGTGGGATTCGCAGGCTCCCTTCATCTTCGAGACCCTCCAAGCCCTCGACGAGCAACGCGTCAACCAGCTGCGCGACCTGCTGACGCAATACGAGACCCACGAAAGCGACCAGGCGCAACGAAACCAGAGCCGCGCTGCTGACACCTTGGCTTCCATGCTGGAGATCAGCACCGAGCAAGAAATCGCGAGCTTCAAGGAAAGGATTCTGTCTGGCAGACCGAGGTTGGAGAAGAGGGCCACGGCGTCTAGACAATCCTCTAATGCCCCCACGAGCCAGACTCTGGCACCACCTCCACCGCCGCCCAGCAGTCTCGGCCACCACGACGATGACGCAAGCGAACACTCCGGTCTGGGCGAAGGAAAGAGCGGTATGTTGCCCTATGTAATGCCATCCAGAGACTGGGAGACTAATATGGAGCGTAGAGTCGAAGCTGCGAAGCCGAATCGGCACGATGCTCGGCCGCCGCCGGCAGAGCGTCCACGGCGGATTCGGTCAGATTTCTCCCGGCAAGGGCGGTGTCCCTTCGTTCGGCCGAGGCCTTAGCAGCAGCCATAGTAGCACTCACGTTCGCCCCGGCCTTTCTCCCCGAGCATCGTCGAATAACCTGAACGAGACGAACAACCGCCTCTCCGCTCTTCCCGAAACACCTGACTCTCCCAGACCACCTCAGTCCTCCGGAACAGACGGGCCGCTCCATGAAGGCACCAACGGCTTCAGCAACTTCCAATCGGATAGTGCTCGGTTGGGTTCTTCTGCTGGTCCCGTCAACGGAAATCACGACACCGATGCTTTGGATGTTGCTCCTCCACCCGGTCCTCCCCCGTCACAGGGCAAGGATTCCCAAGCCAAGGACGACGAAGGCTTCACGATCCGGCCACCCGATAATGATCCAATTTCCCAGGCTCAGCGCGAGGCTGCCGAGGAAAATGAGCAAATGTTCAAGCTTAACATTGCGAGCTCGCCCATCGCCGAGGAGGATGCCGATGCGAAGCAAGCTGCCATGTCGAATGTCGCAAACACGCTGACCCAGATGGCTGCTCCGTCACGCAAGCTGGGAACTGTTCGAGGACGTAGAGACGTGAGAAATACCATCTACGTCCCGCCCCCTAGCCTGCCTGAACCCGAGCTCACCAACGAAAACCCATTCCCAACATCGCCATCATTGCCGAGCCAGTCGTCCAAGCCCACGACCGTCGCTGCCCTCACATCCGAGGCAAGCATTGCCGCAACGTCAGACACGCAGTCGATCCGCTCCGCAAACTCCCTCGTGAGCCTCGCGCACCTGAAGCATCCCGAAATGCACCAGCCTGGACTCAATGCCTCCGTCATTGAAACGGTATCCGCAACCTTTGAGGATGGAACCGTCAAAAGCGCCAAGGTTCACGGTGAAATCGCGTTCGCCTACCACGCAACTGGTGATACTCCGCAAGGTGAGTCAATTTTTCATTCTGCAGACTTCAAAGTGCTAACTCTGAACAGAACATGAGACGATCAGGATCAACAATTTCCCCAGCCTTGAAGTTATTGGACCGAACCGTATCTTTGTTCAGAACAGCCTCGGAAAGTCTGACGAATTCAACTTGGACGTGTCGCATCTCAACAAGACATCCACAGCGTTTACGTATAGAGTACACGCTGGCGATGCCGACGGCTCTGGCTTAGCGGCGCAAGTTCCTCTGCTGATCCGCCCGGCTTGGAAGCCGCAGGGCGACAAGCTCGGACTTCTCTTGCAGTACTCCCTGAACCCCGCAAGTAACCTTACAGCTCCTGTTACACTACAAAACGTCGTATTCGTCGCCACGTACGAGGGTGCCAAGGCTTCAGGCGCCCAGACAAAGCCGACAGGAACGCATCTGAAGGACAAGCATCTGGTGTACTGGCGCTTGGGCGACTTGACACTCACAAACGAGACACAGAAGATTGTGTGCCGTATTGTGGGAGCTGAGAACGCGGAACCCAAACCTGGCCACATTGAAGCCCGCTGGGAGCTCACCCCGGAGATTCTGGGTAGCGGCATCAGTATTTCCCGCCTGGAAGAAACCAAGGGCAAGGGCAAGGATGAAGATGCCGACCCCTTTGCTGATGACAACCCGACCTCGCCGGCGCTGCCAGCTGATCAGCAGTGGGTGGACGTGAACTTGGTAAAGAAGATTACCAGCGGCAAGTACGAGGCCAAGTAATCTTTGCAGCCATGAACTTTTTTAATGAGGAAGATGTGGTGCGAGGTGTACATACCCGTTCAAAGTGGTAGACTTTGTATTGCCATTGGAAGACAGACCATTTTACATAGCGAGCGCATGGCAGGAGAGGAAAAGAAGACACCCCCCGGATAATCATTTTGTCTGGCTCAGTCACTTGTTTATTTTTACCTCCCCATCTTCTGTCTGGTGTTGGATTTTCGAGGAGTATGATCTCGTTGTGGGATCATCCCTTTGATGACGGAGACGGACTGTTTTGTAGGGGGGCTTTGCTTGTAGGTAGTTTCTGTACCGATATGATGAAGAAAAAAGAGAGATTTTCAAGGTACCCGGTGTCTTTACTCGTGTGCGGCTTTTAACAATTGGGTGAGCTGGAATGCGAAGTGTCAAGTGCAAAGCGCAAATAGTGTGTATGAACAAAGAAAAAAAGCCATTGTATCATTAAGGATAACTATCCGTCAAGCATCTGCACCCTCAATACCGCGTCTTTGGGGCGTGAGGTGGAGGTATCATCGTGATATCAAAACATGTACAAGCCAGCCTCCCATTCGAGGCTATTTCTCTCCTTCTTCCGCTCTCCACCCTCCTCATGTTCCGCCGCGCCACGTCTTAGCTAGGTAGTAGTTATGAAAATATGTAAGTCGTGGAGAACAGCTCTTTCGCTGTCCCGGCAATGTGTACGCGAGAGCCCCTTCTTGTCTCCCTCTCCCCGGACCTCTGTCTGCCGTGTATTCTCTCCTATGACAAACGATATGCGGCAGCCAGCAAGCCCCAACCATCGTTCCTTCTTCTTTTTACTCAGTCTGCATCTGATTCTTCGAATACTCTTCATAAAACTCCAACGTCAGAGCGGCCAAAAACCCAGGAATACACCCCTTCTCCCTGACCCAGAAGCCAATCTGATCGCCAATTCTTCGGGCAAAAGCGCTTCTCGGCCCGCCGCCGACCTTCATGGTCCCCTTTTCGCCGTCAAACACGATGGAGTTCTCGTACTCGTCCGTCTGGGAGGGATAGAACGTTGACTCGACGCGCATTTTGCCGTTGGGCATGAACATGACGGTCCAGCCGAGCGTGGAAAAGATGGCCTCTTTGAACTCGAGGGATTTCTTAGACCAGACTTCCTTGAGGCGCTTGGCTGATTTCTGGGCGGATGCGGTCTCGGCGCGGGCTTCTTCCACCAGGCGGTCTGCGGCATCGAGCTGGGATCGCGGGACGAGGTCCACGTTTTCGTTGTCGTTGAGTTGGGCGAGGAGGTCGGCGTTTTCCTGCTCGAGGGCTTTGAGTTTGGCGACTTTGATGGCTTCGTAGTCTGATGTGGGGTTCGAGCGCAGAGACAGGACGCGGGTTTTGGATTGTGTTTTGAGGGCCTTGAGCTGGTCTTGCGTGACGGCGAGTTCTTTTTGGGTGAGGGCGTGTTGGGTTTGCACGGCGGCGAGCTGGTCTTGGAGTTTGCGGTTTTTGCGGGTGAGGAGGCCGAGTTGTTCCTGCGTGGCCGAGGTGTCGTCGTTCTCGTCGCGCGGGCGTTTTGTGCCGGCTGCTGGTGTTGGGTCTGCGGCGGCGGGTGGTTTACCTGCTTCTATGGACGACATCTCCGTATGTAGAGCTTGCACCTCGCTTCTGTACTTGTCGACGAGATCCTCGAGCTCCTGGATGCGACGGGCGCGGGTCTCGTCGACGGCCTCGGGCTGGAAAGCCTCGTCTTCGGCGTCAAAGGTCTTGAGCTGGGCGCGAAGGTATTCCACCTCCTTGACGGCCAGTACACGCTGACGCTCGGTACGAAGGCGGGTCTTGTCAACGTTTTGGGGCGTTGATGCGGCGGACTTCGCGTCGGCGAGCTGGGACTTGAGGGTGGTGATTTCTTCCTGGCAGGACTTGATTGAGGATTCCTGCGCAGCGAGCTCGGCTTGCAGGGAGCCCATCTTGTCGAGCTGGGCGGCGTTCTCATAACGCTGCTCGACGAGGGCGCGGGCGACAGCCTCGGGGGAGTCGAATTCGAGATCGCCGCTGCCGTTGTCTGTGCTGGCCAGGTAGCCCGTCCAGGCGATGCGTTCGTCCTCGAGACGCTGGCGCTGGATGTGTGCCTCGGCGAGCTCCGTCTCGAGGGACCTGGCGGCCTCGAGCTTACGTTGAAGGGATCGCTTCTCCTCTTCGACGACCTCGACGGCCCGATGAATCTGACGGAGGTGCTTCAGCTCTGAGAGCTGCTCACGGTTTGTGGCCTCGAGGCTGCGGATGTGCGCGACCTGCTCCGAGAGCTCGCGCTTGATGATGGCCATTGTGTCGGCGTCGCCTGTCTGGGCCTTGAGGCGCAGAACTTCAGATTCGAGGTCGGCTACATGGTTGTCCTTGTCCACGAGCTGCGACTGGATCTGCTGAAGAGCAGCCTCACGGGCCTGGCTTTCTTGTTCCAGCTCCTGCGTCGACTTCTGGGCGGCCTGGAGCTGCATTTCGAGGTCGATTGTCTTTCTCTCATTGATGCGCGCGGCTTCGTCTTTTGAGCTTGACAAGTCTTCCAATTGTTCCTGTAGTAAACGGGCCTCCTCTTCCGCGTCGCGCGCACGCTTCTCTAGGCTCGTCTTTTCCTGTGCTATGTTCTCGCGGAGATCGCTCAACTCCTTTTGGGTATTCTCCAGCTGGCGCGCGGCCTGGGACTTTTCACTCTCGGCGGCCTGTTTCGCTGTGAAATCAGCCTGGGCGCGACGGCGCTGGTCCTCGAGCTCGGCATTGTGTCGGGCGTCGGCCATCTGCTTCTCCTGCTCAAAGGTGCTGATGGTGTAGCGCAGCGTACCCAGCTCGGCCTTGAGCTCCTCAATGACCTGGCGCTGGGACTCGTACTCGGCGGCATCGGGGGGCGCCATGTTTTCTTTTGAGCTTTCGTGGGATGAGGCGCGGACGGAGTCGGGAGCGGCGAGACTTGCGCGCGAGCCTGGCCTGCTGTTGGCATCGCCGCCGGTGAACAGGTTGTATGTTGGTTGTGTTGCGCGAAAAGTCTAACTCTCGTTGTCAGCGGGCCAACGTTTCTCTTTGTTTTTGTTTACTAGAGGCAACCAAGCGTACCCTGGATTCTCTCAAGGAAGTATGGGGTCTGGGAAGAGCGCTCCCGCCGGTGCTATTGCGGAAACGGTTCGTGACGGAGGCGCGCCTCCCTGGAGGGTCGCCCGAGGGGGTATGCGACCTCATTGCGCCGGTGCTTTGTCGAAGAAGCTTCTTCTTCTTCTGAACGCGCGCTGAGGATCGGCCAATGTTTTGGCGGTTGTTAACGGCCGGGGATGCTGGGGATAGAGTCACGTGACGTAGCATGGAGGGCCCTGCTGTTTGTGGTGTCGCTGCACCCCGCGGTGAGGCACGGGAGGGATGTCGCTGGCTCTTCCTGAGCAGGATGCCGATCTCTTGCGCCCTCCTCGAGTCTTCGTCTTCGTCTATGATGTCGGACATGATGAACTGCAGCGTTGATTTGCAACATGAAATGAATTGGATCAGAACTTGGAGCGGAGAGAATTGATAATATATTCTTAGCTGTAACGTAGGTTGAGATTATGTAGTGAGTACCTAGGTCACTGTCTCTATTCTTTCTTGCAAACTACCTCAATAGAACAAAAAAGCTTCAAATCGCTCCTTCCCTATAACGACGGGCTGCTGCTGCCACTTTCCAACGTAACTACCTTGCTCTCTTGGTCTGCTCTTTTCTCCCAGCCTCAGGCAGAACCATTGAACAAAACTTCTGTCAAACCTCGTTCATAGAATTCATACAATTCTTCGAGATATGCGAAATGACAGCATCGCCAAGTCTGTCAACTTCGAGTGGGGTTATCGTCTGTTCAGGAAAAAAAAAAACAGATCTCGCCAGTAGCACATCCATTCCACGGCCGGGAGGAGCAAAGCGGCATCATGCGGCAAAGATGAGCCCTTTTGTTCTTATCAAACACTCATCAAGCAGGCATCCACAAAGTCTTTCAGTTCCACCGTTGTCCAGCTGCGTGAGACTACTCCATGGCGTAAGACAAGCACCAGACCAGTGGCCCTGTGGCTCAAACTAACAAACGGGTAGAGAACAGGTACGAGCATTGTACTGGGGTATTTTGGGCGACAGGGAGCAGCTGCACCATGACGTGATGAGCACATCCCACATGTGTGGGAGCTTGTTCCTGACTTGGCGGCAGCATGGACCAGGATCCGCTCCGTGCCCTTGCGACTAAGCGTTGCTGTGCTCTCCCAAGCTCCGATGCTCAGAAGCAGATTTCAACGATAGCTTCAACTTCCGGATTACCCCCCCTTCCGCAAACCCCGACCAAACTTCCCAAACGCCCACGCCGAGCCGAACTCCCGAGCCTAGACGTCCAACATCACGATTCCTCGATCAAACCGCTTGCGAAGGAGAAGCTCGGCCAATTAGGGCATACGAAAGGGGCCGTTACTCAGCACGAGAATCATCGTCCGGGACAACCGAGCTCGAAACCACTGCGATCCCTTTGGCAAGAGCGTATCAACGTTCACTCAGCCTTACCCCTCGATTCGTACACAGAGAATTATCGTAGGATCTTTGGATAATAGAGTCTGCTGCTGGGCCGATTGGAATACTGAGCACAAGGCTGAGCCTGGCTGCGACGACTAAGCTTGACGACCCGGTCTAAGCCGAACTGGGTTCCAACTAGTTGCTCTCGCCTCGAGAACATCAGTGTGCCCGCCTCTTTTGAAGTAGTTGTTCTGTTTCTTTTGAGCAGGTGGAAGTCACAGGCAGCCTGGAAACTGTTGCTTCTATCCTCTTTCACCTCTTTCTCCCTTCAACCCAACATCGACTACCCAAAGATCAACACTCAAAATCCCACCATAAACAGCAAATCGCCATCATGACGCTCTCGCGCCTCCTGGTAAGCCCCATATCCTCTCCAATAGACTGCGAATAAGCTAGGAACGACCGCGGCTGATGCGCAGGATAGCTCCGAGGCAATCCCAACCAGGCGCTTCGAGCCGTGGCCGTGCCTGGCCTTGCGCTCAGCTTCTCCCATCAAGCTCGCTACTACTCAGCGGACGCCGGCAAGAAGGACGAGAATGTGGCAAGTGAGAGCAAGCAGGAGGATAGCCCTCCTCCTTACACTCACCGTGGCTCCGCGATCAACTTCAACTGGGGTCGGGAGAAGAAGGAGAGGACAGGTCCGACTCTGTCGGCGGACAACTGGGAGGAGCATCCCGATGCCAAGATTGAGGATTTCGAGGAGCTCCCCTACAAGGGGTTTGGCATCAACCAGCATATGGAGGTCAATGCCGAGTTCAAAAAGGTCCTGACCGAGGTTGTCCGGGAATTCCGCGCTCCCGTCATGTACGCCATGGCGTACGGCTCAGGTGTCTTCCCGCAGTCCAAGATCAGCCGTTCTGTGTCGGACGAAGAATTCCGCGCTGTCCACCCGAAACCGTCTCCCTCGTTGATGGAAGTGCAGAAAGGAGGCCCCAAGATGATTGACTTCATTTTTGGTGTCACCCACACCCAGCACTGGCATTCGCTCAACATCAGACAGCACCGTGACCACTACTCTGGCCTAGCCAGCTTCGGTTCGGGCCTCGTCTCTACCACCCAGGATCGCTGGGGCGCAGGTGTCTACTTCAATCCCTACGTCACCAAGAAGGGCATGCTCATCAAGTACGGCGTCACGTCCATCGATAACCTCTGTACCGACCTCTCGACCTGGAACAATCTGTACCTCGCGGGAAGACTTCACAAGCCGGTTAAGATCCTGCGTGATCACCCCCGAGTTCGCCTCGCGAATCAGGTCAATCTGATCTCGGCGGTCCGCACGGCTCTTCTACTTCTGCCTCCCAAGTTCACCGAGAAGGAGCTCTTCTCTACCATTGCCGGCATTTCCTACCTCGGTGATCCGCGCATGTCTCTCCCCACCGAGAACAAGAGCAAGATCTCCAACATTGTGGACAACAACATGGTCTCCTTCCGCAAGCTATACGGCCCGCTGCTCAATACTCTCCCCAACGTTGACTTCGCCGACGGAGCCGACCAGCAGAGCAAGCATGTCGCCGACGCCGAGTACGACGGCGCCATGTACCAGGACATGGACCCTATAAAGCGTGGCAACATGGTCCGTCGCCTGCCCAAGGCCTTCCGCTCACGCCTCTACTTCCAGTACCAGAAGAAGTTCATGGTCCCAACTGCTGACTTCAAGGCCATGATGGATGCCTCCAAGGACGAGGACGCCGTGAGCTTCAAGCGTCGCGAGGGAGGCGGCTTCGAGCAGCGTATCGTCCAAGATGAGCCCGAGGAGCTGCAAAAGTCCATTCGCAAGGTTATTCGTCAGACTGTAAACTGGCCCGCAACCGCCCAGTCAATCAAGGGCTTCTTTACGGCGGGCGTCGGTCGTTCCGTTCGGTACATGTCTGAGAAGATGACGAAGTACAACGAGGGCAAGGCGAAAGCCAAGGCCAAGGCTGATGAAGAGAAGAAGCAGCCCACTGAGGAAGCAGAGAAGCCCAAGAAGGAAGAGTGAGCGCACCCCGACGTGCGATCCGCGAATTACACTCGCTAATCCGGTGTGCATTTCGCGGCCCCGGCTTGACGCCTGACGACCTCTTGATTTGGCGACAATCTCGCAATTGGTACATACCGAACTACCCATCGACGCTCTTGGCCTCGACCTGTACATTTGGCAAAGGGGGCACCACTCAGAGCATTCTTGTACCTCTTATCATCGGAGTTTACCAAGGACGCTCTGTGGGATTGTGGTCTCCTGGCCCCTGCAACTGATTCTTCGAACTTGCCCTACTCGACCCCTTGCCTGGGGCTTTCTTTTGTTTTGCCTTGCTTCGGACAACCTGCATCAGCATTGGGGTGTGGTACCCCGGATTAGAATTGGAAGGTGGGCAAAAAAGGGAAATTGGGTTTCACAAAACCTCTCTCCGTACCTTTTACGAGAGGAGGAAGAAAGGCCTTGAATTTTGGTGACCCTTCTGACTTCTTAGGAAGTGTCCCTAGATACTACCGAGAGACTTGAAAGGGGGCTATTTTCGTTCGGAGTGGACATTTGGAAGCGGACCCCTTTTTGATTGACGAGAGAGGATGAAATTTGGCGTTTTTGAGGGCATGTAACAAGAGTATTCAACGGGAAGCGAAATGCCCCGAAGGCCCCTTTGGCAGATTTGAATGAGGTGCGATGAGATCGCTCAAGATTCATAATGACTGCAATTCCGGACGCGCTTGAACGTGATCTCTGTGTGTGGTGATGAGCTAGTAAGATTTCGGGCCGCCCAACATTATTGACATCTAATGTGTGAAGGGGACTATGACAGTATCGAAAGACCAATATACGCTCGAGAGTAAGTATAGACAAACATCCAACCACGGCAAGTCTCTGGCAATGATTCTGAATAATCATGGAATTACTACTACAGGCCATGATGTAGGCCTGGGCTACTAATACAAGAGGTATTCGTTACATCATTCATCTTTCTGGCTTTTCGTCAAAGATGCTTTTTGGGGTTTACCACTTCTTCTTGGCGTACGAAGCGGCACCGTCAATCAACTTGTCAGTGAACCCCTCACTCTTCTTCTCCTCCTTCTTATCCTTTCCTCCGCCGCCGAGGATCCCGCCGAGGAGACCTCCGCCGCTACCACCGCTGCTGCTGTTGTGGCTGTCATGACTGCTGCCGTGGCTGCTGTGGTTGTCGTGGCGGTCGTAGCTATCGCGGCGGTCGTAGCTGTTGCGGCCTATGATGATGTCAACTTTCACTGTGTCCGAAGTATTGAAGTAGGTAAAGAAAGGGTAAACTTACGTCCGTGGGAAGAGTGGCCACCAGAATGTCCGTACTCTTCACGGCCACCGCCGTAGCCACCGCCACCTCCCATACCACCACCCATGCCGCCGCCCATACCGCCTCCGCCGTTGTAGTTATCGCGGGGACCGGGGCCGCCTCCCATGCCGCCGGAGGGACCGTAGTTGTCTCGGCCGCCGCCTCCGTAGCCTCCGCCCATGCCGCCGCTCATACCGCCGCCGCCCATGTTCTCGCGGCCGCCTCCGTAGCCGCCGCCGCCGCCGCCCATGCCTCCTCCCATGCCGCTGTTCATACCGCCTCCGTAGTTTTCTCTAGGGCCGTCGTTGTAGCCACCACCCATGCCGCCGCCCATGCCGCTGGAGCCGTAGTTTTCTTGTCTTCCGCCGTGCATTTTGAGTTCTTGGGATGGAGGGTGTTTAATAGTGTGAGTTCGTTGGTTTGAGGGTTTGAGAACCTTAGGATATTGTAGTATCGTGATGATGAGTGATACTCAGATGAGATTGTAGTTGTGTTGGCGGATGTGGTTGTGTTTGATGATGATGAGAGAGAATACCTGCTTGGGGCACTTTGAGAAGATGGCTTTATACTTTACCTGCCTGCATTGTCTTGACACAAGTCCGTCATCGTGGCCAAGGAACGCGTCGACGTCCGTCATCGACAGCGCCGTCAACCTGTTTGCGACGACCGTCCTCTCAAGCCCACGTCTCCATGCTATGCAACAGTCTGCCATCTACGTCAAATCCCACCACCGGCCCGGGGTTCTCCATTGAAAGTGCATCACCAAGCATCACACTCCCGACCCCGGAAAAAGAAGCATACAAAAACACTGGGGAAGACGACGTCAGAGCAGTCCATAGAGGGGACAAGGGTAGTGTTATTGCAGCCTTCACTTGTCTGGACTCGAGCAATTCTGGTCTCCGGAGTCCAGAGCAGACAGAGCTGTGAGGGCTTGTGGGGGGGATTTTCCGGGCCAAGTGCCGCGTGAGTGCCGTGTAAACCGTCTTGGTATTCTGGATTTCCTTGGTGGAGATGCCTCGATATACCGGATTCATCATCCAGGGCGGGCCAGGCTCTGGGCAGGTTTCCTGCGGCGGGTGCCGTTTGAGCCTCATTGTGGGCTCTGGTGACATTCTAGCCTGCCCTGTTACGCTTCCATGTCTCCATGTCACTAAGCGTACCCATCCGTGAGTCTCAAAGGCTGGAAAAAGGCACAAAGGGAACGTGCCGTGAGCCGCAATGGTGTGGCCCCCCCCCCCCATCTGATCTCATAACGCGACGGTCATTTCCTGACGGAGTAATTGGCCGGCCCGCTTTCTTGACGGGACTCGGGAGAGGCGTATCCTTTCGTAAGTCTACCACATTCGAAGACTTCTTAGTAAAGTAAAACACTACAGTGGTGTTGAGACTCGAGAGTTGGTCACTGGTGGCGATGTGGGGACAGCAGAAACCGGGCTGACTAGGAGGAAACTTGGATGGGTGCGCCACTGATTTATTTATGGAAGGACCCTGCTTTTTGATCATCGTACTGGGTGTGCAATTTCATGTCCAATCTTACAGTCCTTCTTGACATTGTCCCCTGGCTTACTGGAGGCAACAAGAGATGTCGTCGATTCAAGGTGCGTAAGGACAACAGGAAGGGTTCATGGCTTCAATTCCCGTCACGTTTTTGACCTGGACCGTTTGTGTTTCCAGTGACATCGTTTCGTTGCGACGCTGGGGTGAGTTGATGGGATGACGCAATGGCATTTCTTGGTCCGATGGGATGCTCCTCCAGCTCCCCGTCAGGCCCGTTTGCCGGTTAACGTTTGCCAAGCAAACGTCACTAACAATTTTCTACAGTGTGTGGAATCTAGTCTACTCCGTAGTATGCCAGCAGGTTCTAGCTACTGCTCTCCGATGCTTTGAGTACTTTTCAACGCTTGAGCAATTGGCCAAATTGCTCCTCTACGGGTTGTCAATGCCTCGGGCGTACGAGTCTTGGCCCCCTGGCAAAGCCCTACCGACGGGTTAGACTAGGTAAGGTACGGATACGCTATCTGAGCCAGTAGGGCAGCAGGGCTTGCTTGGAACGGACTACGGAGTAATTTAGCAGAGTCCATCGGGGAGTTCATAGCGGGAGAGACAATCCGGGATCTTCCCGCGACTCCGCCAAGGGGTGGGATGCCAAAGACCGGCCTTAGGCTAGGATCGGTGGGGGGAGAGGGAAGAGGAATGATGGCGTTTTAGGCGTTGAAACTATCTTCTCTTTGGATTCTGGCAGTTTGACGTGTGGTTCCTTAAGGCCTGTCAAGTTGAGTCTAGAAACTGGCTACCTAAACACGATTGTTGATGCGATGGAATACAATGCCCAGATATTGCCAATGCCTCCATATTCTGCTCATGCAAAGTTCAAGGGCAGCATCATCATCCATGAGAAAGAAAAGATTTCTCCTGGACGGACCTTACTCCAAGGACCTGCCCCGACCACGCCGTCGCATGCATATTGGCCGGAACCCCATTTTGTCTTTTTTGCCCATTCTCATGCAGCGCCGCGCCGCACAGCCCACCTGGCGGACATTGACATTGTAGAAACTAAAGAGTAGAGACGGAGGGGGAAATGTTCTGTCTCTACTTTACTGTAGAGTATCGTGAGTGTGTGTATGGTGTTGGGGCCTTTGAAAGACGGACAGTACGGAGTACCAGCGCATGGATGCATGAGGGACAGCCCAAGAGTCGGAATAGGGAGAGAGAAAAGACTTGATCGTTGGTCCAATGCCTCTCCCTCCCGTGCCCCGTCCGTCCAAACATCGTCAATGGATTTCCATCTGAGCTGAGTGTCTGCAAATCCCCAAATCCCTCGGGCTTGCGTCTCTCCCACCCACCCATTACGTTTGTCCATCCTGGATTGCGCCCACCCTTCCTTGCCTGGACATGCTTGGCGCTGTTCCTTTTCGACTTTCCATTCTGGATTAAGGCCGGCGGGCATCCTTTTGCCTCACGTCCTCTCTACTTTTTCTTCAGTTCTATTCCAGTCGTCAGCAAACCCCGGCAAATCTCGTGTCCAGTCAGAGCTTGTGGTTGTTTCTTTCCTTCTTCCCTTCCCTTCCTCTTCTTCTCGACGTTGAGATCCTGGGATTTCTTCATAGAGACGACCTGCTGGATCGGTTACACCGCTTATCCCGGCCGGATACCTACGACCCTTACCTTACCTCGAAACCGACCACCACCCACCCATCCACTCACCCTCCATTGTTCCTATCATCCTGCAGAGCTCTCAGAAAAAGGACGGTAACAACGGCTAGAAACCCACAATCTCGCAGTAGTTCGACCTTCCCTTCTGTAGCGATTTGCGCCCGCCCGCTTTCTTCGTGTTCCATTTGCTCAAATCTTCAATCGCCAAGCAAACACCCCGCGGGCCACACCAGGGGAGCATTCATTCTGTAAAGTGGTTGGTTGGGGCGTTGAAGGCGAGAAAAAAGGTTCTAAACAAAGAAGTCCAAACGAATCAATTCGACGACAGCTTTCCCAACCTCCGCCCAATATTGTCCATTTTCTGGTTTCTTTCTTCTTTCTCTTCTTCTTCCCAACCCCCGACCTTTGACTTCAATTCTCTTCCTCTCCCGTCGAACGGGCCGTCGTCGCAGGTGCTTGTGTAGCCAAACTACCTGAACCTTACAATCTACGGTAAAGAGAATCGACGCCTAGACGCCGCGCCCGAAGGAAATCCAAGCATCCCGGGAATCCAATTCTGTGGCCGGCCCATCCGTCGCTGCCACTCACCGAGGCCGTCGCCATTGAGATACCACCACCCTCGACACACGACGACAACCCCGATCCCGACCGACCGAACGAAGACCGGCTGTGCCACCGCACTCGAACCTCCCAACTTGTCAAAGCAAGCCGCATAAGCCAGACCTCCTGGGTACCGCCGCATGATTCCACGATAGAGAGGCCCCCGCAACCTCAACCTCGCGATCGAGGCGAAACCCCCTCGCCGCCGTCAACCCAGCATGACGCGCCCGCGCATCCCCGCCCTCTACGGCATCCTCCAGTTCTGCCTCCGCCTGACCCTCGTCGTATTTGAGGTGTGCGCCCTCGCCGCCCTCATCACACTATCGAGATATGGCTTCCACTTCCCGCTCGGATACGTCACTGTAAGCTTGACATGCATCATTCCCTTGACTATGTAGAACGGCTACTAATTACCCAAAAAAAAAAAAGTCCGTCTCAGGCATAATCTTCTCCATGGCCGAAATGGTCACCCTCGCAAACTCAACCCACCAGATCCCCCGCATGCGCACCGGCGCCATCGTCGTCGGCGATTTCGTCCTCTTCGTCCTCGGCCTCGTCGCTTTCTTTTACTTTATCATCCTCAACGGCTGGCGTACGGGGAGCCCGGACCGCGAGTACCGCGCCTGGCGCGAGGATCCGCTGCGCGTCGAAAAGGAGACGTGGGCGCCGTGGTACATGTGGCTGCAGCTCATCGCCGCGGTGCTGCATTTCTTGTACATGGCCATGCACTGCGTCGACGCGTGCAAGGAGGGTGGGCCGGAGCAGCAGCGGCGGAGAAGGGCGAGGAGGCGGGCGAGGGAGGTGGAGAGGAGGGAGAGGAGGGCGGGTATTGGGAGTAGTGATCCTGAGACGGCGCAGGTGGTGCCGAGTTGATTGTGATGGCCCTCTTGGGTTACTGGCCGACCTTTTGCATTGGGAGTTTTTTTGTTGGATTGGGGGATGGGGTGTTCTTGGCGTTTAGGAGATGAAAGGATACGGAGAATTCATGAGACATGGACAGACAGATTCGGTGCGGCCTTGAGCAAGTGCTGGTCTTGGCCGGGGGAAGACGAATATCCACGCTCGTGGAGGAGACTACTGAGGGAAGAAACCGACATGTCTCCTTCTTCGCCTGGAGAATGACACTATTCGGACATCATGGCGCAGACACAGAGAGATATTGGATATCCGACAGCCATGTCGTAATTCTAGGTGATGGATCATCAAGCTCTTATGGAACATAGAATTCCGAGTAACCTCCAGCACTTTCACACTATTGTAGGCACAAAAACAGAAAGATACCCAGAATTATCAATACCCGAGCTAGCACAGTTCATCATACAACCTCACTTTCTCTCTCCTCACTACTCATCATTGAATCGAATCTACACCACCCGTTACCAGCGTCGTACGTCACTTCCGTCGGATCCGAGCTCTCAGCTGTGTACGCCCCTCAAATGACGGCCACATTAGCGGCGACTTTTTACGAGAGTTTAGGGCTGCTGCGAGAGGCTTCGGACCGTTTGAAACGTTGGCCACCTTCTGCCCAGTGGTGGCGGCTTTTCGGCGCACGTCTAAGAAAGTCAATTCAGAGGATCTTCGTCTGGTCTTTTTACACTAGAAGAAAGGTCTCGTCGGTTCATGTTTACTTACCAGGGGCTCGACATTTCTCCACGCTTCCCGAGTTGAGAAAACGAGAAAACGGAATCGAAACAAACGGCAATCCCTTCATGGTCCTTTTGACTCGCCAAAACTTTCATTACACGTACAACCGACAGCTTGCTTGGGCATTCCGGCAACCTTACGAGCGCTATCATTTTTTCTGGAGGAAACCCGTGCGTACCCCGAGGTCTAGCTCAGATCCCGCTTGGACTGCGCCTGTGTGATGGATATCAAAAGGGCCATGGTCCCTTGACATTCGTACACAGACATTTGGGACCTGGGGCTAGTAGCTCGCCATGGGCGCGCTCGCGAGCTAGTGAAGCATGTCTCGGTATTCGAACAGCCAACGGAGCCCAACAGAGCTGCGGAGTCCCGGGGTGATTGGTAGGTATCACCGCCGGGTATCCGGTGGGAAGAGATCATCAAGGCCACGGGGGAACCAGAGAGGCCATCTCTTTCTTCGAGTCTAAGGGACCAAGGAAAGCCGTTTAAGTGGGTTTTCTTATCGACGAGCGGAGTGTTCGGGCCTCGTATTTGGGCGAAAACCTCGTATTTCAATATAACGGGGTCCTCGGGGGTAGAATCATACACACATTGCCCAAGGGGTCAGAAATCTTCTACACATCACAGCCAAAGAATGCTTATCTACTACATTACTTAGCACCACTGTCCGCGTTCACGCCATCACGGCCCGGAGGCCGCGCGTCTCCTCCCCCGAGCCTCCGTCCCCTTCCCACACGCGACTCTCGCGCTTCCTTTCCCGCCCTCAACCCACCGTCCCTCCCCGGCCCCAAGCTGCACCCATCCCCTCGTGCCCTCGGGCACATCCCACTCCACGCTCGCAAACCCACCGCCCTCTTCAACAACCCACTTGGCACTGAACCTTCCCAGCGCCGTCGTAAACCCGGCCTCCGCCTCCGCCGGCAACCCCTCCGCCTCGCCGCCAAACGAAGCCGGCCTCAGACTCCACTCCCGGCCCGCGGGCGCCGTGACGCGCAGCCCGACGAGGTACTCCGTCATCGCGCTCGTCGGACCCGAACTCCACCCGTGCGCATGGCTTACGTAGCTGGGGTCATCCGTGTACCCCCGGCCCTTGCGGTACCCGAACGTGCCGTCGACGAGGTACCCCTCGATCACGGTCGAGCCCGTGCCGTTGGGGTGGTTCAGGTACCACCCCCAGCTGTCGCGGATGAGCTGCATCGCGCGATCGGGGCGGCCTGCAGCGAAGTGCGCTTCGATTTCGATGCTGGAGATGAAGGGGGAGACGTTGCCTGGCAGTTCGGGGGAGGCTGGGCCGATGGGGGTCCAGTTTTGGGTCAGGGCTGTGGAGATGGAGGCGGCTTCGGGGCTGGAGGGGGAGACGAGGTTGAAGGCTAGGGCGTAGGCGTTTGCGTCTTGGGGGTAGAGGGTGCGGTTTTTGTAGCCGTCGATGAAGGCTCCCTTTGTGGGGTCCCAAAGGTGGGTGAAGATTGCTTTCTTGAGGGCGTCTGCGCGGGCGAGCCAGGTTTCTGTGAGGTCTGTCCCTGTTGCTCCTGCTGCTGCTGTGAGGTTTGATGCGTTACCGGCGGGAGCGAGGTCCGCGAGAAAGGCGCCAGTGGTGAGGGTGCGGTAGAGGAGCATGTTCGGCGCACTCCCATTCAGCGAGTTAACGTAGCGCGCCCAATCGCCCGCGGCCGTGGCATTCAGGATCCCTGTCTCGGGTATGATCTTCCCGTAAATGTAGTCCATCGCCTTCAGATACGTCGCCCAGTTCGCCGCCAGCCAGTTCGTATCCCCGGAGAAGAGGACGTAGTTGTACGCGCCAATCATGGTCCACATGTGATACGCATCGCTCGTGGCGTCCAGGTACGGCGGGCCCGCGCGGGGGAAGATGCCCGAGTCCCGCTGGAAGTCGAACATTGTCTGGATGGCGTTGCGCGCGGACTCGAGGTCGCCGGTGCTGACGAAGGCGGAGGGTACGGCGACGCCCATGTCGCCGGGCCAGATCCAGCGGTCGCGTTTGGCGCCGTCGAGGAGGAGGGAGGAACCTACGCCGAGCCAGGCGTCGTTGGACCAGCCGCCGGCCGTGATGTCTTCTGTGAGGACGCGGCCTGTTTCGGGCGGTGCGGCGTTGGTTTGGAGGGTGTAGGCGCCCGAGTACCAGATTTTGTTGAGGAGGGGGTGGGAGGAGTGGAAGTAGCCTTGGTAGGCGCGGAGGTTGGACCAGGTTGGTTGGAAGACGATTTCGAGTGAGACGTCGTCGATCGTGAGAGTTTGCGACGAGGTGTTTGTCATGAGGTAGAGGGTGAGGTATCGGAAGCCGCCGCGGAGCTGGGGGAAGGGGACGGTGTAGGAGCCCGGGCCGGGGACGGTGATTTGGTGGAAGAGGGGACCGTCGACGGAGATGAGAGTCTGGCCCGGACCGCGGAAGTTTCCGTTGGAGTTGTCCGAGTACTCACCGATCCAGTTCTTTGCTTCCGTCCAGGCGAGGCCGAGGGTCACGGGCTCGGTGGTGTTGCCGGTGCCGGTGCTGGAGAGGGTGTAGTTTACCGAGGTGAGGCCGCCGACGAGGACGCCAAAGTCAAAGACGAGCGCGGAGCCATTGCCGCTGAGGGTTTGGGACTCGGGAGAGGGGAAGGAGGCGAGATGGTCGCCTGTCGCGAGGGAGAGGATGGACTTTGGGCGGGCTGTGCGGGAGTTTGGGGCGTAGATGTTTGCGTCCCAGGGGCCTGGGAAGGATGCTTCTGTTGGGTGGGTGCAGGTTGCGTTGCGCCAGCAGGATTGGGCTGCTGTGTTTGTGAAGAGAAGTGCAAGACATAGGAGGAGAGAGGACGATGAGGAGGAGACCATTGTGGACGGATGTGGTGCGGTCTGGCACCCTGCCTAGTCTTGAGTCCTAGACGTGAGGCGGAAGAGAGGTGAGGTTGGTCGGTTCGCGATATGTTGTGCAGCTTCATGGGCTTTTGGGGTGGTGTATCGCGGCATTGCTACCCCGAGGCAAGCGTATTGACGTCGTTTCTCCCCTGACCCAGGTACCGGGGCTCCAAGTGATGTCAATGCTTCGAATCAGGCTAAGTAGAGAGTCCCCACAAGGTCCCTCTATCCTTGGTGTCATTGTCATCTCGGGTACAGGTTTCTTGATGGAAGTGGTGGGCACGAGGTGATGTGGTATTTCCTCCGGCCCCATGGGGTTCGGTGACTTCGGGTCAATGATGGGTGGTTAGGTTTGGGGAACTTTCTGCAGCTCTGCAGCCGAACACGAGTCGTGGTTCCTTTGGATCTTGAGCAGGGGGCAGACAGGGTGGGAGTCGATCGCTTGGCAGAGAGAGGCAGGGGGAACCTTCGGTAATAATCAAGGAACAAATCAAGAGAAGAGAAGGGGAAGAAGAAGAAGAGAAAGAAGAGGATCAATGGGAAGAGACGGAGGAGGAGAGTGCGGGGTTTGAAGGAGGAGTCTTGCAGCTAAGTTTGTGGGGTAATCTGGAGAAGTGGAACGTTGTTTCTTGGCGGAGTTGAGTTAACTTGGTTCGTCTGAAGTTGTCGCCGTCTGATGTTTGAGTTGAATTGTCCATACTTGAATGACTAGTCCAGGTTCCAAGTTGTAATCGTCGGACAAGACTCGGACTTTGTCATGTATTTTTGTGGAGTTCATTGTTCTGCTCAGATCGGTCGTCAAGAGCTGATGGGAATATGTAATGCCTAGCGAAGTGTCTATCCATATGACTTAATTGATGATTGGAAAAGAACAGAATTTACAAGGCTGGGAGGCCCCGCGTGCCAATATCTAAACATGTACTAGAATTCAAAGTATAACCACCCACCTCACGCCTTGGAAATGGTGACCTCAGCCTGTCCGCCAGACAAGTCGACGAGATATCCCCCTCTGGCCACACTCGCGCCAGACACCGTAAACTTGGCATCGCCCGACGTCGTCTCAAGCCATACAATAGTCGAGTTGGCCTTGAGCGCCGCCTCAGATGCCGCAGCGCCAACACTCAACTTCACAGTCTGGCCCTCGCGGTCATAAGTAACAGTCTGAATCGCACCGGCGCTGAGATCAACCTTCAACCCCAGATCCGCAACAAACACCCGCCTTCGCACCGCGTCCCTGGGCTCAGCAACCACAGAAGTCTCAGTCGACGAAACGACGTTGCCGCCAAACACGACCTCGCCGTACGTCGCGTGGTTTACGATATACACGCCCTGGCCGAGACCCAAACCCAAGAACCCGAGACCGTAGTCGCCGGTATACG